TACTGGAACAATAGTACTTTGTACTCAATACTAAATGCACTAATGAAGATTTTACATGTAGCAGCATAAAGAGACAGAAATACAAACTTTATTATCTGTATGTTAGAGTTTCTTGGAGTTAGAAGTATCTTCTTTTTTTTAAGTAAACAGTACCATTTTTCAGTAATCTGGTGTTAATTTCATGTTTTCATTAGGAGCAAAAGACGGTTCAGATGATGTTTAAGCAAGCGACATTTCAATTAGGGCATGGAGACAGATGCACAGCCAGGTGCTAGGGCTGCCCCGTGCAGGGGAGAGGCTAGCATCGTCATTCTATGTCTCCATGACAACACCCGTCTCAACTGCTGAGCCCTGGGCAGAGAGTCTGTGTGTGGATTCCAGCTTGAGCTCATTTCTCTAAGTTCACCTGCCAGCCAGCATCCGAGGAGTTTCCAGTTTAAAATTATAAAAACTAGGGCTGTATGAATACCACTGTGAATTTTTGGTGAGCATGTGTATGCATTTCTGTTGAGTAGGAATGGAATTGCTGATAAGGACAAATTTTAAGGAGGCTAACAACAGAGTTCTAAAAATATAAGAACATTATTCTGCATCCTGAAGGAAGGGTTAAGTAAAGGCCCAATAATTACTGAATATGATTCTTGGACGAGAGGGTTGATCAAGTCAATGTTTCTAAACCATGTGCATATGAATTGCTATGGGCTGAACTGTGTTCCCCCAAAATTTCTATGTTGCCGTCCTAAGTCCCATGTGAGAATGTGATTGTGTATGGAGATAGGGTATTTCCAGTCAGTATGACTGGTGTCTTTATAAGAAGAGAAAATCTGGACACAGACAGGTACAGAGGGAAAGCCGTGCAAAGACACAGCAAGAAGGTGGCCATCCACAAGGCAGAGAGGGAGGCCTGGCACAGATTCTTCCACATAGCCCTCTGAAGATATCAACCCTGCTGACACCTCCATCTTGGATATCCAGACTCTGGAACTGTGAGAAGTTAAACTACTGTTGTTTGAGTCACCCAGCCTGTGGCCACTTTGATCTTGCAACCCCAGAAAACTGATACACAGATCTCCTGGGATATTGTTAAAATGCAGATTCTGATTCTGTGGGTCTGGGGTGTGCCCTCAGATTTCTGATTACTAACAAGATTCTGCCTAATTCAGGTGCTGCCAGTCCATGGACCGTACTTGGGGTAGCAGGAGTCTGGAGTTTAGGTGAGAAATGCCCCCTTAGACTTGCTTTTTTTGACTCGGATTGAGCAGCAGCTGCTCCTGGCTCTGTTTTGGAGTCACAGTTCATCACCTGTTACATGAGCCATTAATAACATGGCTCTTTTTAAATATATACCACGCTAGACTAGGTTCTATGTTAGACCATGCTCACCCCCCAACAACAGACCCCAGTGTGTGATGCTCCCCTCCCTGTGTCCGTGTATTCTCATTGTTCAACACCCGCCTATGAGTGAGAACATGTGGTGTTTGATTTTCTGTTCTTGTGTCAGCTTAAGAAACTGCCAGCCGGGCGTGGTGGCTCACGCCTGTAATCCTAGCACTTTGGGAGGCTGAGGTGGGTGGATCACCTGAGGTCGGGAGTTCAAGACCAGCCTGGACATCATGGTGAAACTCCATCTTAAATATAAAAAAAAGAAAAAAAAAAAAAAAGAAACTGCCAAATTGTCTTTCAAAATGATTTTACACTGAACATTCTCAGGAGCGTAAGAATGTTCTAGTCACCAAAACTTGACAGATTTTGTCATTTTTATCAGTGTTGTGGTCATTTTTACTAAAGACGATCAATGTGTAGTGGTTTCTCATGGAGGTTTTAGTTTCCATTTCCATAATGATTAGTGACGTTCCGCATTTTAAAATGTGTTCATTTGCCATCTATGTATGTTTCTGGTGAAATGTCTTTTTAAATTTCTCACTCACATTTTATTTTATTTTGGTTTTGTTTGATTATTGCATTTGAGAGTTCTCATAGATACTAAGTCCTTTATCAGGTATGTTTTTGTAAATACTTTTGCCCAGCTTGCAACTTGAATTTTCATTTTGATAACAGTGCTTTTCAAAGAGCAGTCATTCTTAATTTTAGTGAAGTTCAAGTTATCAGATCTTTTTGTTTATATATCATGCATTTGTTGTCATATATAACAACTCTTTGTCTAACTCAAGGTCACAACAATTGTCTCCAATCTTTCTTCTAGAAATGTTATAGCATTAGAATTTACATCTACGCCTAGGATCCATTTTGAGTTCATGTTTTTGCATATGTTGAAAAGTGTTAAAAACGCATGCTTTGAATGAAGATATCCCCCAAACAGGTTTGTGTGAGCAACGTGGCTGTTTATTTACCCGGGTGTGCAGGTGGGCTAAGGCCGAAAAGGGCGTTAGCAAAGGGCAGTGGGATAGGAGTTGGTTTTATAGATTTGGGGTGGGCAGTGGAAAGTTACAGAGTAAGATCAGTTACAGTGGCAGGGGTAGGGGCAAGGAGTGTACATTACCATAAGTTCCATTAAAATGGTGGGTGGGATAAGAGTAGTTAAGATGGTAGGGTGGGGTGAGGAGTATTCACATTATCTTAATAACAGTTAAGATGGTGGAATGGGGTAAGGGGAAGCTTATATAGGGAGGAAGCTCCACTAGGCAATCAAGAATAATGGCAGCCTCAGGCGGGGTCAGGGATGGGGGGTGATCAGCCGAGGTAGTCAGGACTTTAGACTTCCTGGGTCCGGGCTTGCACATGGAGGCCTGACAAAAAGACCATCATTTCTCCACTGAATTACATTGGCACCATTGCTGAAAATCAATTATCTTACGCATATGGTCCTGTTTCTGAACTCTAGATAATTCCATTGATGTATTTGTCTATTAAAATGCCAGTACCACGCCATTCTGATTACTGTAACTTAATAAGAAGACAAGACTGTTTAAGACACCTATTTCTTCTTGAGTGAGTTTTGGTAGGTTTTGTCTTTCAAGATATTTGTCCATTTTATCTAATTTGTCAAATTTATTGCCATGAAGTTGTTTATAATATCTGTATCTTCTTTCTAATATATATAAAATCTGTAGTGACACCGTCTCTCTTATTCCTGATACTGATCATTTGTGTCTTCTCTCTCTCTCCCTTTTTCTCTCTGTCACTCTCTTTCTCTTTTTTTTTTTTGTCCTGATCAGTCTGGCTAGAATTTTATCAATTTAATTTTTTTTTAAAAAATAGATTTTTGGCCAGGCGTGGTGGCTGAGGCTGTAATTCCAGCACTTTGGGTGAGTCACCTGTGGTTCAGGAGTTGGAGACCAGCCTGGCCAACATGGTGAAATCCCATCTACTAAAAATACAAAAATTAGCCGGGTGTGGTGGTGCATGCCTGTAGTCCCAGCTACTCCAGAGGCCTAGGCAGGAGTATGGCTGGAACCAGGAGGCGGAGGTTGCAGTGAGCCAAGATCATGCCACTGTACTCCAGCCTGGCGCCTAGTCAAGCGAAACTCTGCCAAAAACAACAAAAAAAGAACTACTGAATTGTGTGCTTTAAAAGGATGAATATTATGGTAGTCAATTGTCTTTTAGTAAAGGTGCTATGGGTGTGGTGGCTCATGCCCATAATCTCAGCACTTTGGGAGGCCGAGGCAGGCGGATCATGAGGTCTGGAGTTCAAGACCAGCCTGGCCAACATGGTGAAACCCCAACGGCGTCTCTACTAAACACACAAAAATTAGCCGGGCATGGTGGACTGCCCCTGTAGCCCCAGCTACTTGGGAGGCCGAGGCGGAAGAATCGCTTGAACCAGGAAGAGGAGGTTGCAGTGAGCCGAGATCATGCCACTGCACTCCAGCCTGGTTGACAAAGCAAGACTTCGTCAAACAAACAAACAAAAAACACAAAAAAAGCAAACTAGGCACCTCAGGTGTAAAATTGGAAAAGGTTCTGATTCTCAGGGCCGCGCAAATACAGGATTGGCCCCTACGAGTGTGGCCTTCCTGAAATTTTGTGCCTTAGGCACCTGGCTTGCCTCTCCCTAATTCAGGCCCTCAGGAGAAAGCTCTGCTTCTGGTCAATTTGCAATAGGAGGACGCGCTTCTGGGAGACTCTCCCTGGGAGCCATTTGGTCCCAGGGATACCTCTGAATGTCACCGCGTCAACACAAAATGCTTCAAATTGCGCCCAGCCTAGGATGGAGGTGGTGGTGGGGATATCTGATGACATCACAAACTGCCGCATCAACTCCCCCAAGTCTCTGCCTCTGGACCCCTGAGAGGATACAGGAGTGTCCTGAGCCCGTGTGACTCAGTGTCTCTTCCCATCACTTTGCGGGAATGGTGGGGCTGCTTAAACCAACCGCAGTCCAAGCAGCTGTGGCAGGGGAAGGGCTCGGGTACTAGGAGTGAGGACGCCTGCTTCTCTATCTGGACTAGCACCTGTTAGTACTAGTGCCCAGGAGTAATACTAGTACTAGTACCCAGGACTAGTACTAGTTAGTGGCGGAATCTGGAACAAATGCTTTGGTTAACTGAATCCCTCATATTCCTAAGACAAGAGGCTTGGAAAACAGACCCATGGGGTCTTCCCACTGGAACATGGAGCTTGGCTGTCATCCGACCTTCGCTTCCTGGAAGTAGAAAAGTCCAGGGTTTCAGGCTCTGTCTCCTTCCCTGAGACCCCTTGTTTCTTGGCGCAGAGGCCCTGGGCACTGCAGACTCCCAGCCTACTTCTGTGGGCTGTCAGTTTCAGTACCGGGTCTCGAACCGGCGGTGCAGCTGGGGTGGGCCAGGCCAGGCGAGCGCCTTGGGCACCTGGCTGGCTTCAGGCGGGGGCACGAAGGGGGGTCATGCGCGGACATCGCCCTGGGCGGGGCGGACCAGGCGAATGTGGCCGGCTCTGCCCCTAGCCCTGCTCTCCGCCAACTAGCGCTGCGATCCTGCTAGTCCCGGCAGGCGGAGCCCGAGTCAAGCGGAAAGTGTGGGAGGCGCTTTGATTACCACAATTGGTAATCAAAGGCGGTGCAGGGAGTGGGAACCCGCTGAGCGCAGCAGCAGGGCCTAGTCCTGCGCCTTGGGAATCGGCGTCCAGGCTCGGAGCGCGGCACGGAGAGGGCGCAGCGCTGCACGAGGTGGCAGGTGAGGGCGTCCCCGCGCAGGGACGGGGTGGGAGACGGGAGTGGTGAGCTTCAAGTCGCCCGGCTGCCACCGCGAGATGGGACCCGAGGACAGGAGCGATCTCTCAGCGAAGAGCCCCGGGGAGGCGGTGCCGTCTCGAGGGGGACAGCGACGGTTTCTGGGAGTCCCTTGCAGCGCGCAGCGGGTCTCTGCGTCGGCGGCCCCCAGCCAGCGCGGACGCCGCCTTCCCCTGCAGCCCTCTCACTTGCCGGCCCTGTTTTTCTCACTGCTCTGCTCTGGGATCCGCAGGATGACGTCTGTCCTGCTGCTTCTCTGTTCTTTAAAGTCAGCAGTCTTGGCCGGGCGCGGTGGCTCACGCCTGTAATCCCAGCGCTTAGGGAAGCCAACGCGGTCTGATCCTTTGAGGTCAGGAGTTCGAGACCAGCCTGACAAACGTGGTGAAACCCGGTCTCTACCAAAAATAAAAAAATTAGCCGGGCGTGGTGGCGCACTCCTGTAATAATGTAAGCTGCAGGCTGAGACAGGAGAATCGCTCGAACTCGGGAGGCGGAGGTTGCAGTGGGCTGAGATTGCGACCACTGCACTCCAGCCTGGGAGACAGCTAGACTTCGTCTCAAAACAAAACAAAAAATCCAAAAACACACAAAAGAACAAAGAAGTAAATAAAAAATAATAAAGTTACCAGTCTCCATTTCCAAATCCGAGCACTCTTATCCATCTTAATTCTTTTTAAAAAAATTTTTTTATTTTTTATTTTTATTTTTTAAGACGGGGTTTCACCATGTTGCTCAGGCTGGTCTTGAACTCCTGACCTCAGGTGATCCGCCCACCTTGGCCTCCAAAGTGCTTGGATTACAGGCATGAGCCACCACGCCCGGCCTCCATCCTAATTCTTTAAATAATTCAGCTAAACGGATGGGGTCTTTCCTTCCCCGGAGCACTCCTCCAGGGCCTGAGAATCCAGGCAGCCAGGCGCAGCCCTTTGCCTGCAGGTCTGTGGAGACCGCCAGCAGGTAGATGCGGAATCACCTTTGGGAGGAAGGGTCGTGCTGGGGAGGTCGGCACCAGCGGAGTCAAGGGAGCCTCCTCTAGAGTGGGAATCAGAGCCTCCGAGCCGGGCCGCAGTGTTTGAGGGTGGGTGGAATTAATCCGTGATTGTCATGGCGCCTCCTAACAGGGACCAACAGTGTCTGCCAAGAGGTGACTTTGGGAAGGGTTAAGGATGGCCACAGATGGAGGCTGTGACATGAGTGAGGCTGGATCAGGGGAAGGGCAGGTGGAAAAGAAACCATTTCGACAAAGTGGCTTTGAGGGGACCCTAAGGGCCCCGGGAGATTTAGGAGGAAGGACGAGAGGATGGAGACACCGCTTGCCTCTGAGGTTGCTGTGTGGCTGTGGCTGAGGGTGGCTTCGGGGAGCGGGTTGTGTTCATTGTCCAAGGCTCTCCAGTGGTTTGGCTGGCGTTTTGGGAAGTATGGGCGAGGTGTCCTGGGAGCGGTTCTAGGGAGACCAGAGGCTCAGAGGAGGCCTGGGCACTAGGCCAGGCAGAGGATCTGAAGCGGAGAGAAATGTGGGCGCAGAGGACAGGCCTTGGGTGTGAGTGTGGGGAGGAGGGAGAGATGGGAAGGAGTCAGGGAGGTCTCCCAGCCTCAGCTGGATGGGTGAGGCTCATTTCCAAGGGCGTTGGGAACTGCAGCCTGGGGGTGGGAGTTCCTCTGGTTTCAGATCTGTGGCCAAGAGACCCACCCACTCACATTCACACTTTGCCTCCACTGGCTTCACAGGCACCACCTCCTTGTTCTCACTGGTTTGACTTCCTCACCTTGGGCTGCTTCTTGCCTTTCCATTCTGGCGTTCTGCAGGGATTATTCCTTCCTCCCATGCACAATCTACTCTCCTGGCTTTTGCTGGGAGTAATGAGGAAAGCTCCCACATGGATGTTTCTGAGTTAGCAAGAACATTAAAAAGAAAATGAAACAAAGCGAAAACAACACACAATTCTTTAAGTCTCACTTTCAGTGTTAAACGGTCACATGATGTCCAGAGGCTGGTGACCGGCAGGAGCCCTGAATGCATTCCTGGGATATCAGAGTGGGCCTGGGCCAGCCTAGGTGGCTGGGAGCAGACCGGCTCCACCCCAGCCGTCCAGGACCCACTCACTTGCCTCCACAGCTCCTTGCCTCACAGCTGTCTCTGTCTCTCTGGATCAGATTCAGCATCTCAGTGTCTTTTGTGTATCAGCTAAAGGACAGGGAGGCCACGGGCTGGCGGCTAATTGAAAATCTCACAAAGACTCTGTACATGCATGCAGGAATAAGAACAGCGTTTTCCTCCTCCTCCCTGGCCCCATTGTCCTCCTGAGATGGGGCCAGGGAGGAGGATCTGGTCCTTACGGAAAGAATTGGAGTTCACTGCTCCCAGCTGTGTGTGCGTGTGTGCGTGAGTGCGTGTGTGTGTGTGTGCGCGTGTGTGCGCGCGCGCGCCAGAGAGAGAGAGAGAGAGAGAGTGAGAGAGAGAGAGAAAGAGAGCACACGCTCCGCTCTGCAGGCGAGCCAGTTCTGTTGCTGTGGCTGGTTTGAGCTGCTGCCATCAACACACTTAGCTAATCACCTTAATATTTGCACTTAGGTTTTGGTCAGAGACTAACAGAAAATAGATTTTTCTCAAAGTTAAAATATGAACTTTGAGATGAAAACAAAAGGTACGATTCCAAAATCACCGCGTAGTAAGTAGGTCAGTAACATTCAGGCAATGTCGAAACTGCATTTCTCTTTACTCTTGGTTTCCAGGGCCTGCATCATGGAAACTTTTTCTAATGCACGTGGCACCTTTGCCATACGCCTGTTAAAGCTACTATGTGAAGATAACCCTTCATGCAACGTGTTTTGTTCCCCTATGAGCGTCTCCTCTGCCCTGGCCATGGTTCTCCTGGGGGCAAAGGGAAACACTGCCACTCAGATGGCCCAGGTAAGCTTTCCCGTCCCCCAGGAGCGGGGACTGGTCTGTGTTCTGTGTTCTGTCACCAGTTTCACACTCACACTCCAAAGCCACTGAGGAAGGAGGGCAGGACTGGGGCCTGAGTATGCACAGGCCACTTCAGGGAGGTGGGGGTCCACTGGGGAAGAAGAGGGACAGGGCAGAGAGGCAGGAACTCTGCTCCACGGAGATTTATTGGGGGGCGGGGGCGGAGAGTGTCATCAGTTAATCTTTTGGAAAAGACCATCCATGCTGTCTGGTCCTAACAGAATCTTTGTTTAGAAAACGATACTGAAATTATTTGAAACACCAGTTGCAAAGATCTACCTCTTTTTTGGAGCAAGAGACTTTGTAACTATAAACTTTGATTGGTAAGGAGGGTTAATACCTGTTTCGAGTTGTTTCTGTACCAAGGGCTCAGGGAGGGCAGAAACAGAAATTTGCAAGAAGGATTCCAAGGCCAGTGCTTAGTTACAGCTGCACCCTGTGCGGGGACTGCTCAGCTCAGTCTCAGCAACACACAGAGAACCACTGGAAACGATTCAAGCTCTGTGCTTGTCCCCAGAGGTTTGTGGAGAGGGGAGGAGACACGTACCTGAGATGAAACCGAAAGCTTGTGTCATCCCTGAGCACAGGCCCCTGAACACGCCTTCATTGTAGGAGTGTTTCCCACTGCCCTTAGTTCAATATGACTCTTTTCTTTGATGACGCTTTTCAGTAGTAAATTACTCGTCTTAATCATTTCCCAGCTCACTGCGTGAAGGAAAGAAGGTTTATGTGTAGAGGGTTCCAACCTCAATAATAAGCACACAGAGAGCCTCTCTAAAAGAGATTTATTTATTTGGCCGGGCGCGGTGGCTCAAGCCTGTAATCCCAGCACTTTGGGAGGCCGAGGCGGGTGGATTACGAGGTCAAGAGATCGAGACCATCCTGGTCAACATGGTGAAACCCCATCTCTACTAAAGAAAATACAAAAAATTAGCTGGGCATGGTGGTACGTGCCTGTAGTCCCAGCTACCTGGGCGGCTGAGGCAGGAGAATTGCCTGAACCCAGGAGGCGGAGGTTGTGGTGAGCCGAGATGGCGCCATTGCACTGCAGCCTGAGTAACAAGAGCGAAACTCCGTCTCAAAAAAAAAAAAAAAAAAAAAAAAAAGAGATTTATTTGCACATAGAGCTTTGTGGTGAAAATGCGCATGGCATAGCAAGCTATGTGCATGTTCAGGGTGGTAAACAAACACTATGGTTTTTAAAGAAAAAAGTAAAAAGGATTACGTAATTCCTTAGAAATAATTATTTCTGGCAAAAAGATCAATAAGGAAGGCGACGCTAGTGAGGTTGGATGGGGAGTTCCTGGGTTGATGTTCCTGGGCACAAGTATTTTTTGTGTAAGGCTGTGATGGCCTTTGTGCAAGGGTGTGGTTTTTACAGAGTCCTCTGTGATAGTTTTGTTACCAAGCATTCAAGCGTGAGAACCTTCCCTTTGTGGCTTTCACTGGCTCTGTCAAGGTTATTTGGGTGTGTTTTTTGCTTTTTTTTTTTTTTTTTTTTGTGAGATGTAGTCTTCCCGTATCTCCCAGGCTGGAGTGCAGTGGCACAATCTCAGCTTACTGCAACCTCCGCATCCTGGGTTCAAGCGATGCTCTTTGCCTCAGCCTCCCGAGTAGTGGGATTACAGGCGCCTGCCACCACACCTGGCTAATTTTTTGTTTTTTGTATTTTTAATAGAGACGGGGTTTCACCCTGTTGGCCAGGCTGGTCTCGAACTCCTGATCTTGTGATCTACCTGCTTTGGGCTCCCAAAGTGCTGGGATTACAGGCATGAGCCACTGGGCCTGGCAAGTTGTTTTTTTTTTTTAACATTAGTGACTTCATTATGATCCTGAAGTTGCTTATGCTTAAATTTGTATGATCTTCTTCTATGTTTTAGGCTCACTGATAAACTCTTATTGGAAGTTTTTCTTTGAGAGCACCAAAATTGTCTGGTTACCTTCTGCGGTGTGACGCCGGGAGCTCTCCATGGCTCCAGTGTGCAACTGGCTACTCCTGAGCCGCCAACTGTGCTGAGTCCATATTGCTACCTGTAACATGAAGGGAGGCGTTAATGGCATCAGAAATGTTTTAAATAATGATTTATTTTTTCCTTCATTATATAAGTGGTAAAACTCCACTATAAACATCTTTTTTTTTTTTTTGAGACGGAGTTTCACTCTTGTTACCCAGGCTGGAGTGCAACAGCACGATCTCGGCTCACTGCAACCTCCGCCTCCTGGGTTCAGGCAGTTTTCCTGCCTCAGCCTCTTGAGTAGCTGGGATTACAGGCACGCGCCACCATGCCCAGCTTATTTTTTGTATTTTTAATAGAGACGGGGTTTCACCATGTTGACCAGGATGGTCTCAATCTCTTGACCTCGTGATCCACCTGCCTTGGCCTCTCAAAGTGCTGGGATTACAGGCGTGAGCCACCGTGCCCGGCCTATAAAAATCTTTAAAAAAGGAAAGTAGACGGGTGAAAAAAAAAATCCCTATGAAATCATCACAAGGAGACAACCACCCTTGATAACATAAGGCATCTTCCTCCAGTCGTATTTCCCCATTTTCACTTGACAAGGTGTACTTTGGTGATTATACAGTATCTTTACTCTTATAAATGTTCTTTCAGTTAATTGAGGAGTCACTGAGAGTCTATGTAAAGCAAGTGCTCAGCATGTGTTGGCTATGGCTAGTCACAGCGGTATCACAGCCGTAGGTGAAATTGGTCTTAGCTTTTGGTCTTGTTCTATTAACAGTGTTTCTTATCGACAGTCTATGAGCTGACTAAAATAAATTTAGTAGCTTCCTCTTTTTTCTCAGTTCTGGAACAGTGTGTATTACACAGGAAATAGAAATTGTTTGAATATTAGAAAAAATCCCTCAAAAGATCATCTAAGCCTTTTTAGAAGTACCTCTCTCTCTCTCTGTCTATTCATTGTCAGCGATAATAGATTCCTTTTTTTTTTTTTTGAGACAGAGTCTCTCTTGTCATCCCAGCTGGAGTGCAGTGGCGCTATCTCAGCAAACTGCAAGCTTCACCTCCTGAGTTCAAGTGATTCTCCTGCCTCAGCCTCCCGAGGAGCTGGGATTACAGGCACATGCCACTATGCCTGGCTAATATTCATATTTTTGACTGGCATTTGGTAACATAATTGGTACTTCACTGAAAATAATGAGACATAGTTTTTATTGTTTTAACATTCCCTTTGTATACATTGCTGTAACCTCTTTTTTATATATAACCTTCCTTTGGGGTACTTTTTCTGATTTTTCTTTTTCTTTTCTTTTTTTTTTTTTTTTGAGACGGAGTTTTGCTCTTGTTACCCAGGCTGGAGTGCAATGGCGCGATCTCGGCTCACCGCAACCTCTGCCTCCCGGGTTCGGGCAATTCTCCTGACTCAGCCTCCTGAGTAGCTGGGATTACAGGCACGCACCACCATGCCCAGCTAATTTTTTGTATTTTTGGTAGAGACAGGGTTTCATCATGTTGACCAGGATGGTCTCGATCTCTTGACCTCGTGATCCACCCGCCTCGGCCTCCCAAAGTGCTGGGATTATAGGCTTGAGCCACCACGCCCGGCCCCTGATTTTTCTTATATGTGCTGTGTGGTTGTCTGCTTTGTATGTGAGTATGTGTGTTTTCTTTTAAAGAACCAGCTCTTGGATTCATTGACCATTTTGTGTTTGTCCCAAAATTCCTTAGGAGTTTTTCTGTATCTTTCCTAACATAATGATTTAAAGTTTTAGCATTTCATTATTTTCTTGGTAATATGAAAAACAATGCTATATTTTAATTTATCTTTGGGCAAACTCTTAGGTCTAATATATATCACCCATATTTTGATTATTTTCTCAATCATGTGTCATATACTTATTTAGAAGAATTTTTTTTGTTTCTTTGTTTTTTGAGGAGTCTTGCTCTGTCGCCCAGGCTGGAGTGCAGTAGTGTGATCTCAGCTTACTGCCAACCTCCGCCTCCCAGGTTCAAGTGATTTTCCTGCCTCAGCCTCCCGGGTAGCTGGGGTTACAGGCAAGCATCACTACACCAGGCTAATTTTCTTATTTTTAGTAGAGATAGGGTTTCACCATGTTGGCTAGGATGATCTTGAACTCCTGATCTCAAGCGATCTGCCCACTTCAGCCTCCGAAAGTGCTGGGATTACAGGTGTCAGCCACCACGCCCAGCACAGGAGACTATTTAAATATTTGTTTAGAAGATGCCTATTGATTTTTTTTTTTTTTGAGACATGGTCTGGCTCAAGACTGGAGTACAGCAGCTTGATCATAGCTCACTGCAGCCTCAAAGTCCTGGGCTCCAGCAATCCTCCCACCTCAGCCTTCCAAGTAGCTGGGACCACAGGCACACACCATCGTGCCCAGCTAATTGGAGATGTGATCTTGCAATGTTGCCCAGACTAGTTTCAAACTCCTGGATTCAAGCAATCCTCCTGTCTTGGCCTCCCAAAGTGCTGGGGTTACAGGCATAAGCCACCATGACTGGCCTCAAAGAGGATTTTAATGGTTACTTTGAAGAGTTATTTATTTAGAAAAGTGTTTTTAGTAATATTTTGTGGGCCATTTTCATGTTACTGGTATTTTATTTATAATGTTGTTGATTTCTTGTTACTACATTGAGGATAGAGAATATAACCTATATAATTTCTATATTTCAGAATGTATTGAGACTTTGGGACTTTTCTTATGGCCGAATAGGTGTTATATTTTTTGAATTATTTAAGTAATACACACACGTATAGTCTCTATAGTGTCTTATTAATCATATTACTCATTTAATATTCTTATTTCCTTTTGGGGATTCTGATGATTGTATTTCTATTTTTCCTTGCATTTTTTCTGCTTTTAACTTTTTAACTGCATTTTTTTTTCCTACTATAAATTTTAGAGATAATTTTCCCACCACTTAGGGTGCATTTATGTTTTTCTTTGGATACAAGATTTTATCACAACCTCTTTTCTGAACTTTCCTCACCTCGCCATTTTTTCTTTTCCTAATCTTTAAATGAGCGAGGTCCACTCAGGCAGGAGAGCTACATCTTTTACTTGCCTGTTTCCTCTCCCCATCCACCAAAGAGCTAAATTGATCATTTTTAAAATTGTTTTTCACAACAGGCACTTTCTTTACACACAGAGGAAGACATTCATCAGGGTTTCCATTCGCTTCTCACTGAAGTAAACAAGCCTGGCACACAGTACCTGCTGAGAACGGCCAACAGGCTCTTTGGAGAGAAAACCTGTGAATTCCTCTCAGTAAGTTGAATCAGTAGAACAATTAAAGTTGTATTAAGCATACCTGGTGACACAGAGTCTGAGAGAAAGGCTCTAGGGAAATTGAGAAACTTACGTTAACCAATTTTTTTTAAATTTTACTATTTTTTTTTCTAAGTTGGGGGTCTCACTATGTTACCCAGGCTGGTCTCGAACTCCTGGTCTCAAGTGATCCTTCTGCCTGTTGGGATTACAGATGTGAGCCACCATGCCCAGTCTAAATTTCTTTTTTTTTTTTTAAGACCATAATTCTATCATTATACCTTGCATTATTAAAAACTTGACTATTCTCTAGGCCAGGCGCGGTGGCTCAAGCCTGTAATCCCAGCACTTTGGGAGGCCGGGGCAGGTGGATCACGAGGTCAAGAGATCGACACCATCCTGGTCAACATGGTGAAACCCCGTCTCTACTAAAAATACAAAAAATTAGCTGGGCATGGTGGCATGTGCCTATAATCCCAGCTACTCAGGAGGCTGAGGCAGGAGAATTGCTTGAACCCAGGAGGCAGAGGTTGTGGTGAGCCGAGATTGTGCCATTGCACTCCAGCCTGGGTAACAAGAGCGAAACTCCGTCTCAAAAAAAAAAAACTTGACTATTCTCAAGTTCATTTCTGGTTATTCAGGGTTCAATACATACTTATTTACAAATTCTGATATTTTAACATATCTTAATATGATCGCTTTTAAAGAGTTATGTATATTCTTTTTATCAAAAAAAAAGATAAAATATTTAGAATTTTTGGAAGTTTGCTGACATTTGTATTTAGCAATGCAGCCTCACTGAACTTTTTCTCTCCAAAGACATTTAAGGAATCCTGTCTTAAATTCTACCATGCTGAGCTGAAGGAGCTTTCTTTTATCAAAGCTGCAGAAGAGTCCAGGAAACACATCAACACTTGGGTCTCAGAAAAGACTGAAGGTCAGAATGACAAGTTATTCCACCCTCCTCCCAACCCTCATCCTCCTGCCGCTCTCCTATTCTTCCTTCTCTGCTCCTCTGTCCTCCCTCCTCCTCCTCTCCCTTCTCTTCCTACTTCTCTCTCTCCTCACCCACCTCCACCTCTCTACTCCAGACCCTCTAATTTCATGGGTGTTTCAGATGGTCAGAGTAATGTTGACTGGCAGGGCCTCCTGGCATACTGAATCTTAGTGGACTCACAAAGGTTCTGATCAGACACTCAGGTTTTCAGCAACAGAGATTTCCTTTCATCTCTTCTCCCAGGACCAGAGTAGCTGATACAAATGTCAAAAGAGGGCTGGGCGTGGTGGCTCTCACCTGTAATCCTGACACTTTAGGAGGCCGAGGTGAGCATATCACTTGAGGTCAGGAGTTCGAGACCAGCCTGGCCAACATGATAAAAACCCCATCTCTACAAAAATTACATAAATTAGCCGGGTGTGGTGGCCCATGCCTGTAATCCCAGCTACTCGGGAGGCTGAGACACGAGAATTGCTTGAACCTGGGAGGCAGAGGTTGTAGTGAGCTGAGATCACACCACTGCACTCCAGCGTGTCTGGAAAACAAAAAACAAACAAAGAAACCAAAGGTCAAAAGAAACTCAGGCCAGGTTTCCAGTTTAATAACTTACATTAAAATATACTCTCTCTAACTTGTAACATTCACATGTCGGGTGACTCTGTTGTCTGTGTGAGAAGGAGGCTGATGGACACATCTTGCCTGAGTTGTACAACTGCAGACCCTCTCTCAGGGCTGATGAGTTCCACAGACTGATACTACCCTCGATTTGGGGTTGAACCTTATTCATCTTCATTTCAGAGAGGGACATGTTCCAGTCTTGGCCGCTAAGACCAATGATGGGTCTGATGAACCATTCAGACTCCTCTGCACCAATGCTTAGGACCACTAGGAACATTTCCATTCCTGTGAATAAATGAGACGGTAAAGAATTGGAGATGTTCTTCACTTAAAGTCTCAGCAATTGTTTCCCCCATTCCTGCTTGGAATATTTACCACAGATGCCCTCTTGAGGCTGTGAATCAGCAGGGATGCTCTCAGTTCATTGAAGAAGTACCACTTGGTCTCCATGGAAAGAGGGTGATCTTTGCTTGTCTACATTCTCTTTTCCAGGGATGCCTGGTGCTTTGTTTAGCAGATTCAGCAATAGTATCTCTTCCAAAAGCTTCCAGAGACCCCCCCATGTGCCCAGTGCCAGCTCTTCCCCCTTTGAGCCATCCATTCTGGCTGCTTCTGACATGTCCCCTTGTAGTCATAGAATGTTAGAATCGAGTGTGACCACGAAGGGTTGGCTCAAACACTCCTTTTAACCACGTGAGACAAACACCCCTGCAGCCTATCACATTTCTTGCCGGTCTTGTTCTCCAACAAGTAATCTTTTTACTTCCTGCCAACCTGTTTTCCGCGAGTGACTTACAAGTATTTCACTATCTCCTCAACTTGGTGGGTGCTCTCATGAATACCACTCATAGGTGCTGTTGTAATTTCTGTATGTAACAACCCAGACTCAGCAAATCTGAAAACAGAAGTTTGGTTCTCAACTAATAATTCAGGATCACTGAATACATTGGGTTCTTAGAAAAAGCAACTGAACGGAGGTCTCTGCTTTTCTTGAAAGGTAAAATTGAAGAGTTGTTGCCGGTTAGCTCAATTGATGCAGAGACCAGGCTGGTTCTTGTCAACGCCATCTACTTCAAAGGAAAGTGGAAGGAGCGGTTTGAGGAAACATACACAAGGGAAATGCCTTTTAAAATAAACCAGGTAGGGAAAGGCTTTTCAAAATCTCTCTAGTTTGTTGAAGAAGTTGAATGGAAAGATTTAACTTTGTAAAAGTGTAAGTAACATAAGCATAAGCCAGAGAATTTGAAACTTAAAATATTTCTGAATGAATTGAACTCAGTAGAAAAATGGAAGGAGTAAAAGGTATTTGCTGCATATAGATAGATAGATTTAACATATATGTAGTGTTTTATCACTGCTCTTATGGCCTTCGTTAATTTCTCATAAACCATTGCTGCCACCTAGTTTTGGAAACTAAAGATCTTCCTTTAAGCCCAATTTACTTGCTTAGAAAGCAAAAAAAGAGGGCAGCCCCCTGGAACCAAGCAGCCTGAGAGTGCCCCAGCCCAGAAGCTAAGAAGCTAAGAAAGCAAAAAAAAAAAAAAAAAAGAGAGAGAGAAAGAGAGAGAGGCGTTAGTGTTAAGCTAGTGTGATATATGGGGAGTGAGGAGAATAGGGCAGGATGGAGGGAGAGAATGTGAAAACGTATGTCTTTGATTAGTTATTTTAAAAATTAAAATAAGTTTTATTTGAATTGTTAACTAATTATTATTAATTCAGTATTTACAGCTTTCCAATATTAAAACTTTGTGACAAAGACCTTAGTTTTGACATCGAAGTTAAGGCAGGTGTTAAAATAATTTGCCGAATCCTCCAGCCCCTAAAAACACACCATTGTAATGCAATTAGAAAAGCAGAGTAGGTAGCCCTCCTGCATTTTTTGTAAGTTGTACTTTAAATAACTTAAAAAAAATTAGTTGTCTAGTTGCAAAGGGTGGGAGGAGAATTATTCTAACCTTGATTTTAGAACTATTTTAACTTTTATAATAGATGATCTGTATCAATTTTTTTTTTTTTTTTTTTCTGAGATGGAGTTTCGCTCGTTACCCAGGCTGGAGTGCAATGGTGCGATCTCGGCTCACCGCAACCTCCATCTTCTGGGTTCAGGCAATTCTCCTGCCTCAGCCTCTTGAGTAGCTGGGATTACAGGCACGCGCCACCATGCCCAGCTAATTTTTTGTATTTTTAGTAAAGACGGGGTTTCACCATGTTGACGAGGATGGTGTCGATCTCTTGACCGTGATCCACCCGCCTCGGCCTCCCAAAGTGCTGGGATTACAGGCTTGAGCCACCGCGCCCGGCCTTGTATCAATTTTTTAAAGTAAATTAATAACTGTAATACTTTGCTGAACTTCCATGTACATATGCCTCCTCGGTATTTAAAAAAATATTTCCTTAGAGTATCAGAATTGAAAAGATTTGGTTAAAATGCATTACCATATATACGTAGGTTGTTATTCTTTCTGAGTGTATTGACTCATACTCCCTGTCATACTGTTGTGAAACTGTAAGTTTCACTCCACTTTATGACATTTTTTCTTATTTGTTGGGTTGCATATATATGAAAAATAATATGCTTTTTTTCTAATTAAATAGAAATAGCTGTATTTAATTTCATTTAGATCTATTTGCTGAGCATAATTTAAATGAGAAAAATCTGACCCCCTCCCCCCCCCCGGTAAAATGCAGAGTATCATGTTTTATTTTACAGAACAAAACCTTTCCCAGGGTAGTACTGTGTCTGCTTGCAATGATAATAAGAAGGAAATCGTGGACTTTATTTTTTTTTTAGTGTTAATTGGGGCATGAATATGGCGGTTTCCATCACAGGTGCTCAAAACACTCCCGGAGGCAACTGCAGCTCTTTTGAAACGGTTAATTGCTTCTTTCAATAATCGTTCCCCCAGGAGGAGCAAAGGCCAGTGCAGATGATGTATCAGGAGGCCTCCTTTTTGCTCGCCCACGTGGGCGAGGTGGGCGCGCAGCTGCTGGAGCTGCCCTATGCTGGCGAGGAGCTGAGCCTGCTGGTCTTGCTGCCTGACGACGGCGTGGAGCTCAGCACGGTGAGACCCGGGCTGCAGGAAGAACCCTAGGACACTTTTGCGGGCAGAATTCCAGCGCCGCTTCCACCTCTTGTATTTACCTTCCGGGTTGGCGATGCGGCAGAAGCAGCCTGCGGAGCGCACTGCGCAGGCACTTGGCTTTGGGATCAAATTTTTGGTCAAGGCTGACTTTCCCTAGGATTGTCCTCCTGATCTGCAAAATGACACATCCCAGTCCTCTGTTTTTGCATCGCTAGAAGGGGTGGGGGGCGGTTAATATGCGTTTTAAAATAAACCAGGTGGGGAAAGCTTATAAAAATCCTGCTAGTTTGGTGAAAGACACCAGACTTTTAACTCTGTAAAAGCACTGCTTATGGTTAATGCTTGGTAGGCTTATGATGAGGGTAGAATGTGGGTAATTCAGGTAGCAAGCTTAGCGCATTGCCTGGCAAATAGTAAACTCTATACACATGTGATCCTTTATTATAATTATTATTCTTAGCATCATGCTTTTATTGATTTATTTATTTTTGAGACGGAGTTTCGCTCTTGTTACCCAGGCTGGAGTGCAATGGCGCAATCTCGGCTCACCACAACCTCCGTCTCCTGGGTTCAGGCAATTCTCCTGCCTCAACCTCCTGAATAGCTGGGATTACAGGCACGCGCCACCATGTCCAGCTAATTTTTTGTATTTTTAGTAGAGACGGAGTTTCACCATGTTGACCAGGATGGTGTCAATCTCTTGACCTCGTGATCCACCCGCCTCGGCCTCCCAAAGTGCTGGGATTACAGGCTTGAGCCACCGTGCCCGGCCAGTTTTTGTATTTTTAATAGAGACGGGGTTTCACCATGTTGACCAGGATGGTCTCGGTCTCTTGACCTTGTGATCCACCTGCCTCGGCCTCCCAAAGTGCTGTGATTATAGGCGTGAGCCAACGCACCCGGCCCTCATGCTTTTAAAGGCTAGAATCTGAAATAGAGAATGAAGAAGTCTTTCATCTAACAATGCTGGGAGCAGGGGCATCATAGCTTCCAGGGAGGTATAAAGTCCAGTGCTCAGAGGGTCGGCCCAGAGACAGCCTCTGATGGCACTTCCAGGCACCTGGCTTCCCTTCAGCATGGATTCCTGGGGTGACAGAGTCAACAATGGCAAATGGCAGGCAGTGGAACCCCATGACTTAAGAGGCCTGTATGTGAGGCAGCCATTGGCTCTCCCTCTGCCCACCTCCCTGACGGTAACCTCTCTGCTCCAGAAACGATGCAGAATCTCACCGGGGGCAGATTCCCCTACTGGGGTGGCTCAAACTGAGCCCTTTCATTCCCAATCCTTTCCTTTACGAGCAATGGTTTGTTGTTTTTAAAAATAAGTGTAGGTTGGGAAAAAAAAATCATAGTCGCCTGGATATTGACACTTGTCACAATACAATTAGTCTTGGGAATTGTTGGGTAAGGAAAGGACAGCCACAGCCTTCCTGCCTCTGGCTGCTTGGTGACTCTCCCCCTTGTCGTGGAAGAGGTACATGGGACGGCGCATGGAGACACAGGACAAGTAGGAGCGCTTACAAGCTTCTGGCAGATCAAGGGGCCGCTGGTCCTATGCAAATAAACAATACCCACGTGCAAAAGGAGGAAGGGGACTGTGAGTGCCTGAAGTCGAAATCTTAAAAGTCTCATTCTGGTCTTTCAGGTGGAAAAAAATCTCACTTTTGAGAAACTCACTGCCTGGACCAAGCCAGACTGTATGAAGAGCACTGAGGTTGAAGTTCTCCTTCCAAAATTTAAACTGCAGGAGGATTATGACATGGAGTCTGTGCTTCCACGTTTGGGAATGGTTGAGGCTTTCCAACAGGGCAAGGCTGACTTGTCGGCAATGTCGTCCGAGAGAGACCTGTGTCTGTCCAAGTTCGTGCACAAGACTTTTGTGGAGGTGAATGAAGAAGGCACGGAGGCAGCCGCAGCCTCGGGCGTGGTGGTGGCAGAGTGCTGCATGGAGTCTGGCCCAAGATTCTGTGCTGACCACCCTTTCCTTTTCTTCATCAGGCACAACAGAGCCAACAACCTTCTGTTCTGCGGCAGGTTCTCATCTCCGTAAAGGGTGCATTGACTGTGCACTCAGCCATTTCCCTCTTGCTGTGTCCCCGGATCCCCCACTCCCCTACAGCTCCAAGAGGATGGGCCTAGAAAGCCAAATGCAAAGATGAGGGCAGATTCCTTACCTGTTTGCCCTCATGATTTGCCAGGACGGGTTCATGATGCCGCACACTCTGCTCTTCTATACTGACCTCTCATTTATGCTACACTTAATCAAAATCTTGGGAAAATCGACCATACTGATTCCCTGTTGCATTAAAATTGCGGTCCAAATCCCATAGGATGGCATGCAGAGTTTTCTAGAATTCCACATGCAGTTCACCCTGGCTACCCTGTGCTTTCTTTCTTTCTTTTTTTTTTTTTTTTTTTTTTTTGAGACGGAGTTTCGCTCTTGTTACCCAGGCTGGAGTGCAATGGTGCGATCTCGGCTCACCGCAACCTCTGCCTCCTGGGTTCAGGCAATTCTCCTGCCTCAGCCTCCTGAGCAGCTGGGATTACAGGCACGCACCACCATGCCCAGCTAATTTTTTGTATTTTTAGTAGAGATGGGGTTTCACCATGTTGACCAGGATGGTCTCGATCTCTTGACCTCGTGATCCACCCGCCTCGGCCTCCCAAAGTGCTGGGACTACAGGCTTGAGCCACCGCGCCCGGCTCCCTGTGCTTTCTTGATACCTCAAATACATGACCTTAACACGCTGCCTCTGTGGTAATAAATGCTGCTAGATATTGCTATTTTATAGATTTTTCTGGTGCTTAGCCTTTTAAAAAGTTTTTAAAATGCACATTTATATTTTATGTTTATTTTATTTTTGACATTTACCCATCATCAAACATGTACTTGGGGACTGCATTTGGCACTGGGGATGCCAAGGGGACAGAGCCATTCTCTGTTGACACTTGGTCTTCAAATCTGTGCCCAATTTATTTAGCTTTGACAACAACCAGGTTGGACTGTTTAATGATGTCATTCAACTTATCAGGTAATCCTCCAGTAGGGATCACACCTTTCTTTTTTTTTTTTTTTTTTTTGAGACGGAGTTTCGCTCTTGTTACCCAGGTTGGAGTGCAATGGCACCATCTCGGCTCACCGCAACCTCCGCCTCCTGGGTTCAGGCAATTCTCCTGCCTCAGCCTCCCGAACAGCTGGGATTACAGGCACACGCCACCATGCCCAGCTGATTTTTTGTATTTTTAGTAGAGACGGGGTTTCACCATGTCGACCAGGATGGTCTCGAACTCTCGACCTCGTGATCCACCCGCCTCGGCCTCCCAAAGTGCTGGGATTACAGGCTTGAGCCACCGTGCCCGGCCCACACCTTTCTTTATGATACCGTGTTTCTCTATCTCTAACAGTAAAAATTCCAGTCAACCCTTAAAGCTCATTTCAAATGTCTTATTTCAGAAATGTTTCCTTTCTCCAGAAGCAGACGTACATATGTGAACTCTCTGCACTTGAAGGGCACCTCCTTTGTGGTAGTTCTTTTATTTTATTAATCTCTGTATTCTTAGATAGTCCTCCAACAAGACCTGAAGTTCACCAAGGGTTGGACCTCTATCTTACATATCTGGGTGCAGTAATACATAAGTTGATTATATACAAGCTGTGAAACTTATTTTTTTAATGGTAGGATATTACTGGCTTTATTTTTTTTTTTTAAAGAATTTTTGTATTGAGGCAAAATTCATATAACATAAAATTAACTATTTTAAAGTGAGAAGTTCAGTGCCACTTAGTATCATTAACAGTGTTGTATAACCATTATATATAGTGCAGTAATAAGGAAGTTGATTACATAGGAGCTGTGAAATTTGTTTTTTTAATGGTTGGATATTACTGGCTTTATTTTTTTTAAAGAATTTTTGTATTGAGGTGAAATTCACATAATATAAAATTAACTGTTTTAAAGTGAGAAGTTCACTGCCACTTGGTATTGTTAACAATGTTGTATAACCACCGCCTTTGTTTAAAGTTCCAGAAAAAATGTTCTGCTCTAAAAGGAAACCCCATCCCATTAAGCAGATACCCTCCATTCCCTCCTCCCTGCAGCCCCCAGCAACCACCCATCAGCTTTCTGTCTCTATGGAGTTATGTATTCTTGATATTTCATATAAATTGAATTGTATGAAACCTTTTGTGTCTGGCTGTTTTCACTTAGTATAAGTTTTTGAGATTCATTTCCATAGTAGCATGTATCAAAACTTCATTTTTATGGCTAAATAATTTTGTATTACGTGTTTATAGCACAATTTATCCACTCATTCATTGATGGACATTGGGTTGTTTCTGCTTTTTAGCTACTCTGAATAGTGTTGCTGTAGATGTTTGTGTACCTGTATTTGTTTGAGTATCTATTTTGCATCCTTTTGGATATTTATCTAGGAGTGGAACTGCTGGGTCGTATGGTAATTCTATGTTTAGCTTTTTTGAGGAACAGACTGTTTTCCACAGTGGTTGAACCATTCTACATTCCCACCAGCAGTGTTAAGTTATGGCCGTCTTAGTGGGTATGAAGTGGTATCTCATTGTGTTTTTTATTTGCATTTCCTATGTTATGAACTAGAAACTAAAGTACAAACAAGATGGGACTCTAGTTCCCTGGGGATTTCCATAAGCAAATATAGGAAGGCAGTTGGCTTTTCACATCTCAGTTCTTTGGAAGGCCCAATAAACTCTACGAACAGGAGTGAGCAATTTTCTCTCATTCTTTTATTGCCTTTTAAATTTTGTTATGAGGTTTCATTAATAAACAGGGTTTTGTTTTCCTCTATAATCAAATCTAGGTTTTCCCTTTGTGATTTCTGACATTCCATTCTTAGAAGTACTTTTCCATTGATGAACTAGTTAAATAAAATAGCTATTTTTTTATTCGAAACTTTTATAATGATTTAACTAATCCACATGGAATTTGATTATGTATTATTGACATGCAGGGGGAAAACATACTTTTATTTATTTATTAATAGCCAATTTCTGGATATTATTTATAAGTCTCTTTTTCCCTACTGTTCATTTCTGATTTTCCATCTTTATTCTTCTAGGTGAATGTTAGAATAGAATAACTTTTTAATACCCAAAGTAATTTTTTTAACTTTGAGATTTTGGTGGGGGAAGGATTAGCATGACATTAGCATACAAATTTCTTGGGTAAATTGATGTATTTACAATGTTTAGTCATCTCATTAAGGAAAATGAGAAGAGTCTCCATTTATTCAAGCCCTTTCTATACTATTTTATTAAAACCCTTTTTGAAGGCCGGGCGTGATGGCTCATGCCTGTAATCCAAGCACTTTGGAGGCCAAGGCAGGCGGATCACCTGAGGTCGGGAGTTGAAGACCAGCCTGACCAACATGGTGAAATCCCGTCTTAAAAAACAAAAAAACAGGGCCGGGCGTGGTGGCTCAAGCCTGTAATCCCAGCACTTTGGGAGGCCGAGGCGGGTGGATCATGAGGTCGAGAGATCGAGACCATCCTGGTCAACATAGTGAAACCTCGTCTCTACTAAAAATACAAAAAATTAGCTGGGCATGGCAGTGCGTGCCTGTAATCCCAGCTACTCAGGAGGCTGAGGCAGGAGAATTGCCTGAACCCAGGAGGCGGAGGTTGCGGTGAGCCGAGATCGCGCCATTGCATTCCAGCCTGGGTAACAAGAGCGAAACTCCATCTCAAAAAAAAAAAAAAAAAAAAAAAACCACCCTGTTTTGAGTTTGTGGGTCTAGCCATCCAGCGAGTCTAACTGGCTCTGGGTACTGGGAGTTGTCGGTACAGATTCCTGCCATGTGAACCATCTACGGTTCTCTCAGCTGTGGATACCAGCACCTGCTCTGGTGGAGGTGGCGGCGGGTGCAGTGGACTCCATGAGGGTCCTTAGCTTTGGTGGTTTAATGCTCTATTTTTGTGCTGGTTGGCCTCCTACCAGGAGGTAATGCTTTCCAAAAAGCATCAGCTGTAGTAGTGTGGAGAGGGACTGGCACTGGGTGGGGCCCTAGAACTCCCAAGATTTTATGCGCTTTGTCTTTCACTCCCAGGGTGGATAGGGAAGGACCGTCAGGTGAGGGTGAGGCTAGGCATGTCTGAGCTCAGACTCTCCTTGGGCGGGTTGCTGAGGCTGCAGTGGGGTTGCGGGTGAGATTCCCAGGTCACTGGAGTTATGTACCTAGGAGGATTATGGCTCCCTCTGCTGAGTCATGCAGGGGTCAGGGAAGTGGGGGAAAGCCAGCAGTCACAGGCCTCACCCAGTTCCCAGGCAAACCAAAGGGCCAGACTCACTCACACCGTGCCTCTGGCAATAGCCCTGAGTCTGTTTCCAAGCGAAGGGTGAGATGGGTTTGAAAACTTGCTGCAGGCTTTCCACCTCCCCGTTGGGAAAGTGAAGGGCTTTAGTTCTGCCTGTGAAGTCTGCAAGCCAGATTCGAGTCCTTTCCCAAGTTCTGGCCAGGAGGCTTCTTGTGGGGTTCAAATTGTTACAAAGTTTGGCTAGAGAATTCCTTCTTCCTGTGGAGTTTTACCCCCTGCTCCTCTGGCCACCCTCCCAATGGATCCCTGTGGTGCCAGGCAGGAATGGGCTGCTTGGGGACCCAGTGGGCTCCCGGGGCCTTTCTGCTGCTTCCTCTGCCCCTGTGTTGCGCTCGGCTCTTTAACTTGACTCTGCTTCGGGTAAAGTCAGAAACATCTGCAAACAGACCTTCAGCTTCTCCCGTGAAGGTGTGTGTTCAGGAGAGGAGGGTCTCCCTTTCCCACCTGGGGCACTCACAGTATTTGGGGTGTCTCCTGGGTCCCCTGCAGGAACAGTCTGCTTCCTGCAGAGGGTCTGTGGGACTTCTCAACATTGCTTGTTTGTTCTTACAGTGGATCTGAGCTAAAATTGACAATGCAAGCCTCCCCCCGCTGCTTTGTACAGAGCTGCAATCCATCTAGTTCTGCCTCCCGTTTGCCATGATCCTAAAATCCTCGAAACAGGATGTTAGAGTGAGAATTTATCTGTTTTGGTTTTGCCCCAAACACCCATACAAGGCATGTGGAATCATAACAGAAAGAAGGACACAGTCAAGGCCATCGAGCTGCTAGTCCAGGGCAGTCAGCAGTTCATTGAGAGGTGTGCTGAGACACAGAGCTCTGAGCTTTGTGAAGGCTGGGAAAAGGGAGCTTCCTGTGGTTATGTCAATAAAACATTGAACTCTGGTGCTCTTGTTGGAGCAGAACCAAGTTCACTGGTCAGCAGTGTGTCCGGTAGGAGGCTGTGGGCACCTGGCCTCTGAAGGTCACTCGAGGTTCAGTCCAGCCTTGGCCCTCACCAGGCCACAGCCAGGAAGCCAGAGAGAGGGTTCTGGCCAGGGCTGCGGGAAGGAAAACAGGCGGT